TGTGGGGCGTGTGCACTGGCTCAGGTGTGCATCCCTCCATGTGGGGCGTGTGCACTGGCTCAGGTGTGCATCCCTCCCTGTGGGGCGTGTGCACAGGTTCAGGTGTGCATCCCTCTCTGTGGGGCGTGTGCACTGGCTCAGGTGTGCATCCCTCCCTGTGGTACCTGTGTACTGGCTCAGGTGTGCATCCCTCCCTGTGGGGCGTGTGCACTGGCTCAGGTGTGCATCCCTCCCTCTGGGGCGTGTGTACAGGCTCAGGTGTGCATCCCTCCCTGTGGGGCGTGTGCACTGGCTCAGGTGTGCATCCCTCCCTGTGAGGTGTGTGCACTGGCTCAGGTGTGCATCCCTCCCTGTGGGACCTGTGTGCTGGCTCAGGTGTGCATCCCTCCCTGTGGGGCGTGTGCACTGGTTCAGGTGTGCATCACTAACTGTTGTGCTCCAGGACTTCTGCGATCTCTGTGCTCTCTCGGTGTCAGAATTTTGTGTCTCTTTAAACATTTTTTGGTGTCTCAGAAGTATGTGCCACTTTCCCATGTGGATCTCATTCCTACACTGCGTCTTCATCTTGAGTGAGCAGTGAGCTTGCTGGCTTCCCAGTCCTTGGGCTGCTGTGGTATCCCTTGTATTTTTTGTCTCCAGGCTTAGAGAGTCCCACTTAGTGTCGGTCTGTCCTGCTGTTCAGGGTCACTGTGCTCCTGTCACTGCTGTGTCTTCGTCTCTGCTTGCCCTTCATGTTCCCAGAAGCCACCTCTGGACGGTGTTGGTAATTTCTTTGCTCTTTGTTCTTTGGCTGTTTTAGGGGGCCCACCACCTAGCTCCCAAATAAATCACACATGGAGGCTTATTTTTCTTTATAAGTGCCTAGCCAGGTGGTGGTGGTAGCAGCTGTGGCGGCGGCACACGCCTTTAATTCCAGCACTCGGGAGACAGAGGCAGGTGAATCTCTGTGAGTTCAAGGCCAGCCTGGTCTACAGAGTGAGTTCTAGGACAGCCAGGGCTATTAAACAGAGAAACCCTGTCTTGAAAAACCAAAAAGAAAACACACACACACACACACACACACACACACACATATGTGCACCCAGCCTTAGCTTGGCTTGTTTCTAGCCAGTTTTTTTTTTTTTTTTTTAATTAGCCCAGCTACCTTTTGCCTCTGGGCTTTTACCCTTTTCTATTTCTGTATACCTTTTATTACGTCTTACTCCATGATTTGCTGTGTAGCTGGGTGGCTGGCCCCTAGCATCCTCCTCCTTATCTTGCTCCTCCATCTTCCCAGATATCTCCTTCTATTTATTCTCTCTGCCTGCCAGCCTCTCCCATCCTTTCTCCTGCCTTACTATTGGCTGTTCAGCTCTTTATTTGACCAGTCAGGTGTTTTAAACAGGCAAAGTATCACAGCTTCACAGAGTTAAACAAATGCAACATAAAAGAATAAAGACTTTGCCTTTGTGCCCCTTGTTCTGAGAACAGCTCCCAGGGCTCTGTGGCTGCCCTCCCTACACTGGTCTAGCTCGGCGCTCTTCCCGTCCCCTGCATTGGAGCAATCATTTCCACTCCAGGTTCAGGCAGCGTGGAACCACCCCAGCTCCTCCTCAGCCGGTCCAGGCACTCCTCGGTTTTGCTTTTGGATGCCCCTGAGGATGGGGCCTGGACTGGATTTCCTTTCCCCATCCCACTTCCTCTGTGTCCTTCATCATTCCTCCTGGACACAGCTCTGTCTCCCTGCCTGCCCAGATCCCCACGCTGACTCTCAGCACCAGCTGCTCCTGTGAAGTCTGTCAGTCAGACTGTCTCCTGGGGACACTCAGCAGCTCCCCGTCAGGGAGAACGCCTGAGCAGTGGGTTATGGGGCCGCATGCAGTCGGCCTTCTCATCCAGCGTGTGTCCTCATCCAGCGTGTGTCCTCACCCCCTGGACTCCGCACTGTGCAGCCCCAGCAGCCCCTTCCGAGCTCACAGGCTGTGCAGGTGGAGCTGCCGCCCCACGTGGACCGCTGTCCCTGTTGTTTTCACGACTGACTCATTTCCCCACCTCTGCAGATCTTTACCTTCCCATCATATTTAGAAGTCCTTACCCACAAGTACTTAGCATTTCATTTTTTGTTTATTTTTTTCTCCATCAGTAGAGGGCTTTTTGTCTCTGTATAACAGGAGCTCAGTAGCTTTTAAATAAATGCATCCTGATGCTTCGTATGATACTCTTAAAATCCTTTTCTGATCCAAACTCCCTCCCACTCCGGAATTTTAAAGCCCACCTGCTTTGATGGCCATGTGATTAAACTAGTTAGCACGATAGCCAGGCTCTCCAGAGCACAGCCCGACCCCATTTGCTTCTGGGGTCTTGCCAGGCTTTGCGGCATGAACAACCCTGCTCCTTTCAGGTCAGATGCTGTCCTTTCCCACGTGTGCCTCATGCTTGACACACCTTCATACCTGATCCAGCTCGTTCGTTGTCTTCCTAGAGTCCCGTCCCCCTCAGTCTTTCCCCTGAAGATCCATCCGTGCCCCCTCGGATGACCCTGCTGACATTCAGCCTTGCCTGGATTCCGGCTTTCTGCCCAGGAGAGGCTTTGCTGTCAGCTAGGTTTGGTCTCCTCCTCTGATACCCCGTGTTCCCCATCATTTGATGGTTGCCAGTTTTGGTCTCCTTCTCTGATACCCTGTGTCCCCCATCGTGGGATGGTCGCCAGGTTTGGTCTCCTTGTCTGGGGCCCTGAGTTCCTATCGTTGGATGGTTGCATACTTACCACTCTCTTTCCCTAGGTCATCTGCTTGTCCTTGATAGTGTGAAGGCTTACCACATAATTTGCCTTGTTCTGTGTGTCTGTTCATGGACAAGGTTCAGGTGTGGAGTGTTTGTGTTCAACAGCTGGGAGAGCTAACCTCCAGGGAAGTTTAACGCCAGCTGTGTTTCAGGAGTTTGCTCTCCAGCTTATCTGCCATCTTGAACACTGAAGCAGTAACATTGTGTAATCCCATGGCTACTGCGTACAGTTTACCGCTCTGGTTTACACTCCGGGCTCTGCAGTAGACCCGAGATGGGCTGTGCCGTCGTCTAGGTTTCCGTGTTTCTCATCAGTCATGTGCTGCGTGAAAACTCCTGTTGATTTGTAACTGTTGCAGTGACAGATGACCTTTCTTCTGCTCTGCCGTTTGTCCCCCCAGTGACATTGCAGGGATGCTGTTGAAGTCCACGGGGAGCTTCCTGGAGTCCGGCCTGCAGGAGAGCTGTGCAGAGCTGTGGACCAGCGCCGACGACAACGGAGCTGCCGACGAGCTGAGGTTGGCGTCACACTGGCCTCTGTCTGCTTCTTAACTGCAGGAGTCTTGCTTCCCCAGTGGGCTGCCTTTGTTCTGTGTTCAGGCTGGACTGTGATGGACGGGTGTGTGTGTGTGTGTGTGTGTGTGTGTGTGTGTGTGTGTGTGTGTGTCTTCTAGACAAACTTTAACATGATAAACGTATAGTGTATATTAACTGCAAATGGCTAGCAACACTCTGTACTCATGTTTTTCTAGACTATCTTTAAATGTTACATTTTTGTCCTGTGAATCCCTGTAGCAGTCCACGCTACCTTCTGATGCCATTTGGCAGATTTCTGTTGTTTATACTTGGCTCGTCCCTTCTGTCGAACGTTAGAGTAAATACATGAGCCTTGGCTTCCCCGTTGAATTCCCCTCAGTGTCATGCAGATGCCACTGAACCGTTCAGATTGCACCCACTCTGGGTGTGTGTGTGTGTGTCAAGATGTTGCACGTAAAGCCATTTTGTGGCCGCCTGTCTATCGGGTGCATCGTTGGTCAGTCTGTACAGGTGCATGTTCAGAGCTAGACGTTTTACTCACTGACAAAGTCTGGTGAAGAGCAGCTGGGTTTCAGAACATCTGGATAGAGATGTTCCCACCGAGGGCCTGAGCTGGTAAAACACTGATGCCGAGAAACAGGGTGGGCCTTTGTGTGGGCCTGTAGCTTTACGTTACGAGTGTAAAGTCTGGCGTGAGGATTAAAGAATCGAGGCAGTGAACTCCCCTCATCTGCCGGAGACGTGGAAGGGCGTTGGCGTGCCACCGGGCCAGTTCCGTGGTGTCCTGCCCCTGTGATCCGCGGTGGTGTCAGTACTGTGCCCCACAAGTCAGGATGAGCTGCCAGACAGTCCTAGGGGGACCAGGAGTCACCACGCTGGGTGTGTATTTCTTTCCAATTAGTATGAGCTCTGCAGCTCTAAGACCTTGTCACAGCAATGTCTAGAAAATTAAACATATTGCTACTTGAGGGGTATCTGATGTCCCCTGTGTACATGGAATACTCAGGTGCTTTGTGCAGAACTCTGAGGATCAAGCTCTCCTCTGGTATTTTGGCCACAGTCTCAGTAACTGCTCGTTCCCATTGATGAAATCTGTGGGTGTTGTTTGTCGCTGTGCTTTGAAACTGGCTGCGTGTTTGTTACGAGCTGCACTTGTTCTTGGGTGTCCCCAGTGTGAACTAACTGAACTCTCCCGGCAGGAGATCTGTCATAGAGATCAGCCGAGCACTCAAGGAGCTCTTCCACGAAGCCCGGGAGAGGGCCTCCAAGGCGCTGGGCTTTGCTAAGATGCTGAGGAAGGTGAGTCCACCAGTCTGGTTGCTGCTGCCCTTTGCTCAGGTGGATCTTAAAGCTGATCCTAAAGAGACTTCTCTTCTGTGATCCTAGGACCTGGAAATAGCAGCAGAGTTTGTCCTGTCTGCCTCGGTCCAAGAGCTCCTGGGTGTTCTGAAGGCAAAGCAGTATGTTAAGGTGAGTCCCCACAGTGTTCTCGGAGCCCGTGGCCCCTGCATCTAAAGAGGCCATTTGTTCATAACGTCCGGAGCTAATACTCTGGGCTTTGGAGGCTGCACACTGACTGAACATGTTCCCAGAAGAACACACTTCTTCAATGCTTAACCTTTTTATAAATGCAGACAAAGAATCAACCACTGTGTATACTGTTGACTAGCTTAGTTATGCATATTTAAAGTAGTGACTGCAATAATGAATGTAATATGATATTACTGACTCTCATAGTGATTTTAGTGTTTGCCCGCAGGTCTCTGCGGTCCAGGGTCTCTGCGGTCCAGGGTCTCTGTGTGATGTTCTTTGGGTCCTTGGCAATGCATCCTAGTCATCATTGTAGTTATTTCTTGGGCCCATCTTTACATCTCTTTAAGTTTGAGATTTATCATTTTGGGACCGGCATATGACATATCATTGGCCACCCTGTGCCAAGTCCAGGTGTCTTAGTTAGGGTTTCTGTCATTGTGATAAAACACAATGATTGAAACAATTTGGGGAGGAAAGGGTTGATTTGGCTTACACTTCCACATCATTGTTCATCACAAGTCAGGGCAGAAACAGGGCAGGAACCTGGAGGCAGGAGCTGATGCAGAGGCCATGGAGGGGTGCTGCTTACTGGCTTGCTCCCCATGGCTTTCTCATCCTGCTTTCTTATAGAATCCAGGACCATGAGCCTAGGGATGGCACCACCCACCATGGGCTGGGCCCTTCCCATCAATCACTAATGAAGAAAATGCCTACGGTCTTACCTGCAGCCTGATCTTATGGAGGCATTTTCTCAGTTGAGGTTCCCTCCTCTCCAGTGACTCTCGCTTGTGTCAGGTTGGCCCACTGGGGATGTGTGATGGAGGGCTGTTCTTGCGCAGCTGGCACCCCGGTCACGGCATTGTATTCCGTGTTAAGGGACCCTCGCCTCCTGGACTCTGGCAGTGACAGGTTGTTCCAGGCACCCTCGTGAACAAGTCTTGGATGGGGACAGTGACGCGGTGCCCTAGGTCTGGAGAAACTTCAGTACTGTCCCCCGGTTCCCTCCCAGCCCCTCTCCCTTCCTCCTTCCCCTCACTCAGCGGAGTCCCTTGCAGCTCAGCTTGCTCTTGGGACTGATGCCTCCCTCCACACATCCTCCTTCTTGGACCTGCTTGTCTTTCCACTCCCACCCCGAAACCCACAGGCTGGCCCTGAATTCACTATATAGCCCAGGTTGGGCTCAAACCCGTGTCTTCTGAGTGCGAGGAATGCAGACATGTTCTATGCCGGGCTGCTTTTAGTCTCATGTATGTTAAGACTGGGCTATTTCCTTTCCAGGTACAGATTCCCGGGTTAGAGAATTTGCACGTCTTTGTCCCCGACAGCCTTGCTGAGGAGAAAAGAATTATTCTGCAGTTACTCAATGCTGCCACAGGAAAGGACTGCTCAAAAGATCCAGATGAAGTCTTCATTGATGCCTTTCTGCTTCTGACTAAGCATGAGGACCGAGCCCGGGACCCAGAAGATGGCTGGGGCACCTGGGAATCACGAACTGTCAAAATCATGCCTCAGGTGGAGACTGTCGATACCCTGAGAAGCATGCAGGTGGGTGGGCCTCCCTTGCCTGTTGTGAGGGTTAGCATGCTTTTATGAAACACACTGTGGCAGCTTACAAATATCACCCCTAATGATCTGAAGTGTATGCTCCCCCAAAATGGGCCTATGTGAATTGTTAGCTGATTGTACTAGAAGTATCCCTGTGAGTTTAAGTGTGTCACGTTATATTGGGATGTTTGAAATAACCTGTATGCTTGAGGTCTTCTAGTGTTCAGGTAGCTTTAAAAGGCGCCATGTCATTGATGAGTCATAATTCCAGACAGTCCAGTCCCAGAGTACCCCAGAAGGACAGAAACAGTGCTGACCTTGTTACATAGTTCTCACTGGTAGAGTGAAGGGCACCTCATGGGGCCTGGGCGGGTTCTGAGACTCACTGATGACTGCTGTCGGGAGCCTCCTCACCCGTGTGTCCCGCTCAGGGCCAGGGAAAGCAGGTGTTCACAGGCCTGGAGAGCTCGGCTGCGCCCGCCATCGTCTCCTCCACCCCACCCGCCTGTTCGTTCTCTTGCGCTCTCAGGCAGGCCTGCCCACTCACTTGTGTAAGTCACAAGTGTGACAGTGAGTGTCAACGTGTCCTCCCACTTCTCCAGCTACTCACCAGCTCGGCAGCCAGACGTGTGCTCAGCAAATGAGCCAGCCGTCTGGCGTTCGCCGGGCCACTGCCGCAGCTCATGTGCTGTTGCCTTTCCGGAACAATTGTCTTTCCTATTTGTGGTTTTCCTGCTTCCGGCCCCTCCCCCTCCCCTGGTTCTCCAGGTGGTTTGTGGTGGTTTGGAGAGTGGTCATGGCAACATGCAGATCTGTCCTAAATACTGCAAGGGCTCTCAGTCTCTTAAAGGTTAAAAATTATAATGCCCTATCTCTTGTCTCCTTGGGCTGCTCCAACATCCACAATCCCTGCGTGCCCACGCCCTTTCCCAGTGGAGAGTGGGCTTTTTCTCCCCTTTGATGAAGAGCCAGGTCACCAGAGCTTGCTGCTCTGGCCTGCAGGAGCTGTGCCTGCGGGTGATCCTGGTCAGGTGGCTAGCTGCTACACGGTGGTCTTGAGGGTGCTGCTGTTTGAGGGTGGGGCCGCAGCGGACTGGGGAAGCGGTCACTGGTCTGTTCTCAGGTCCTGTTTGGTTTTCCTTCCAGGTGGACAATCTTCTACTGGTTGTCATGGAGTCTGCTCATCTCATAATTCAGAGAAAAGCCTTCCAGCAGTCCATTGAGGGGCTGATGACCCTTCGCCATGAGCAGACGTCCAGTCAGCCGGTCATCGCCAAAGCTTTGCAGCAGCTCAAGGTACTGACCATGCCATCCTGGCCTCTGGGTGTAATAGACATCGGAGAGGTCACATGGTGTGAGGTGATGTCACTTGAGGGATGTGAGTGGCTGCCCATCCTCCTGGTGCGCTCTTGTGTGCGTGCGTATATGAAGCACTTCTTAGGCGTTTCCCCGAACTGTAGAATGGGGAAGGATGGAAACCAGCGGTTCCCTCCCTCACCTGGTGTAGGTCTCAGGCAGGGCTGGTTGTTTAGCAGAGTTACAACTGGGATCTAGGTGTCTTCCTTCTGTGAGTTTCTCTCACCTTTGGCAGTTTCCAGTATTTGCTGCAGGCGTTCTTATTGATAATGCATGGTCAAAAAGTCTTTATCATGTTCTTTAACACGTGGTTCAGCCAAGTTGTGGGCGGGCAGGAAAGCCTCACAGCTGGGCAGCTTCCTTTTCTGTCCTCAGCAGTGTGTTTGATGCTGCGTTCTGGGGTCCCGCTTTCTCCGTAAGCTAAGTCTCGGTAGTCACAGAACTGTGGCTTCTGGGAGGCTCCCAAGTCAGTCAGTGAACGTCTGCTTTTCTTCTACCAATCCAGTTTATTTTATTTATTGATAAACCTCTTCCAAACTGTTGTCCCAGCCTAATACCAGGGCAAGGGACTGGTGTCTTTTCTTTAGTTCAAGCCAAGGTACTCTGGAAAGCATAAGCTGTGAAATGTTGATTCTGGCTCTGGGGCACGAACTGTCACACTGAGAGGTCAGAGGTCAGCACCTCCTCATAGTATCTGGGAACCGCATTATGGTACCACCTACAGAAGAGCCGAGAGCTTAAATTAAGACTGGGTTTCTCGAGTCACGTGAGGTGCCAAGATGACGGTGTCACAGACCCTAACTGGGTCTCCATTGAGAGGTGCTGGTATGGTGCAGATGGAAGATAGAGAAGCTCCCCAGAACATCAAGATGGCAATTTATACACATAGTTGGCTGATTCTTCTCTAGGAGATGCAAAATTCAGAAAACCAATGATCACTGAAACCATTGACGAAAAGTTTGAATATTATACAAAAGAGTAAGAGACTCACTAATAACTGAGTCACCAACTTGACTTGCCCGTCCATCCTTTCTATTACCATAGTCTCCAAGGATTGTGTAGGAAACTGCTTGCTTTTTCCTCCTTCTGTTTGTCTCTTCCAAAGTTTCGTTTTTGGGTAGTGTCACCACTGTAACATTTTGCCAAAATGTTTCTCCTATAGGCTTTCACCGTTTCTCTTGCCTGAATTGCTATCTTAAACAGTTGTCTAAGAAGAGAATCTTCTAGATATTCACGTATTTGGCGAAGGGTTTTAGGAAAACTGGCAACATTGAAGTTCCAAAAGATGCCTTTACAAAATTTCTGAAAACACAGCTAATAAATAATTCATGGAGAAAAAGAAAACAAACAAACAAACAAAAACCAAAAACTACCTACTGAGTTGGTTATGAAGATTGCCTTTTTTTTTTAAGAACTGGACAGAAATTGCAATGGATTGAGCAATGGATTGAAGTAGTGATTTGTTAGATTGGATAATTTCTTTTGCTTTTTTAAAAATCTATATTGTTTTTATTTAGGTGTCTGTTTGTGTAACTGTATGCTATGTATGTGAGCATATACTGGGGGAAGTGAGAAAGGAGCTTTGGAGCCCCCGAAACTCAAGTTAGAGGCTGTTGTAAGCCCCTTCTTTTGCTTCTGAAAAAAAAAAATTGCCCAAACTTACTGCTGAAATATTATTCGTACAAATATTCTTTGAATTAAAAGTAATTAGCATGAAGAAAAAAGACTGGGTTTCTCAGCCTTTGCCAACTTGACATTGGGGCCAGTGATTTTTTTTTCTGTGGAGTGGTAGTGGGGTATCTCCTGTTGTATGGGGTGGTACGGGGGTGTCTTGTGTGTTGTGGGATATCTGGCAGCATCCACCAGGTGGCAGTAGACCTTAGCTCCTTGTCCAGTTTTGATGCTCTCTCGTGGTTAATGCACAAAAGTGCCAGTGACACCATTGCCTGTTCAAAGACCAGAATGCAGTTAGGTACAACCACTTACGTGGGTTGTTCTCACTGGGTGTTCTGTCGGCTGTTAAAGATCGCCAAGAATACCTCAGACAAATAATGGTGAAGGTAGGATTTCTCGGTCGCATTTTTGATGAAGTCCCTCAGTGGTCTGTGTGGTGAGCATGGTGTCTTCCTGTGGGCGGTGCTGGGTTTGCTTCTCCTTGGACTAATCGTGGTTTGGGACCCCTCAGAATGATGCACTTGAGCTCTGCAACCGAGTGAGCGATGCCATTGACCGGGTGGACCACATGTTCACGCTGGAGTTGGATGCTGAGGTGGAGGAGTCGGAGTCTGTCACGCTGCAGCAGTACTACCGAGAAGCCATGATCCAGGGCTACAACTTTGGGTTCGAGGTAGGTACCGAACACGAGGGGGCGCTGCACAGTCTAGAAACTGGTTTGTGGACTACAAGAGGCGTTATGGACTCTCTGTGACAAGTCTGACTTTATTATAATCACTGCCTTGTCAGGAATGCCACCTCACAGTGCTGTGAAGTGTCCAAAATGTCAGTTTCCTTCTAAATGGTCAGATATCGCCAGGTTCTCTTTTCTATTCACAGCTATCTACTCTAATATATCTATAATATATCTACTAAAATATCTACTGTATTTTAAAACTTTCTCTAAGACATATTTAATATCCTAAACGTATATTCTTAATTTAAATATGAATAAAGCATTTACCAAACTCTATTTTGTGACTGTATTCTGTAGTTCTATGGGTTATTCAAAGTATATAATTAGATTTTGCTATTCATTTTTAGAAAAGACATTTTAGGCAGATACAACATTATTGTGTGTAGGTGTTGCTAGAATGGTTTTGTTAATCTTGATATACATGAAATCTTTTAACAGTATCATAAAGAAGTTGTTCGTTTGATGTCTGGAGAGTTCAGACAGAAGATAGGAGATAAATATATAAGCTTTGCCCGGAAATGGATGAATTATGTCCTGACCAAATGTGAGAGCGGCCGAGGCACGAGGCCCAGGTAACAGCGAGAAGCACACTCATTCTCACGGGAGGCACGAGGGGCTGGTAATATTTCTTCTGTGCACCATGTGAAATTCATAAGCAGATGATACAACAAGAGCATTCTTTCTAACTCACTGCAGTCAGTACTTTTTATATGGCAGTGTGTGTATGTGAAGCTTATAATTCATCATAGAGGAAAGAAAATCTTTAATGAGTCCTAAACAGCATGCCTCCTGGAAGGGATCTGCAGGAAAGTGTGGAAGCATCCCTGTCTGTAACGCTCTACAGTTGTTCCACTAGCATAAAGTGGTCACGAAAGCATGTGAGTGAAACCTGGCCAGGCAGCCTGTAATCCATCTGCGCAGACAGGGACCCTTGGAAGCCACTTCCAGGTCAGAACAGTGCACACGGTCTGCGTGTGAAATGCAGAGTTAGAATCTGGTGTTACCAGCTCACCAGTGATTCGGTGTGCCTGCTGGCCCAAGGGCCTTCATGTTCCTTTTGGCGTGAGAATGGAGTTTAAAAAGCCATCCTGCCCGTCAGTGTAAGCTTGCTCTGTCCAGGTGGTAATCTCCATCCCCCGCCCCGGAATACCAAGCATTTTGTCCTATGGTAAATTTCCAGTTACTTTTATGCTAATTTTAGTGTTGTGTAGTCTGCAGCGTTTCCCCAGCCGTTATGTGATTGTTGAATATTTTCACGTGACAGGTGGGCCACTCAAGGATTTGATTTCCTACAAGCCATTGAACCTGCCTTTATTTCAGCTTTACCGGAAGATGACTTCCTGGTAGGACATACTTTAAATACTTTTTCTGTAAAGAAGAACCAAGTCGGTCCCTTTCTTCTGGGTGGTGTGTTTTCTGTGGAGTCCTGGTTCCTCATTATACTTTCTGTCACTGCCATGAGGATGCTGAGCCGTTAAAGCCCCCTTTAAAATGTGCCAGGGTTTCCAGTGTTCATCAGCTATTATAGCTGTGCGCAGCTGCCTGTCTGGTGGATCCTCTACCCTCACACTTCTGAAATAGATGCTAGTGTCTAGATGTTATGAAGAACAGGCTTGACTGTCCCGTCCGTGCCCGTCAGCAGAGTGCCGCGTCAGTGCCGTATGTAGGCTGCTGATGTTGTGATCAGTTGCACCGGATGGTGATGTTGCACAGGCGTGAACCCCTCCCATTGCCCTCTGGTTGTGGGGACCCTTGATCTTCGCTTATGGATGTTGTTGTTTCACCGGGGGTGGTCTGCACAGTTGCTTTTATTCATGAGAACGGAAAGTATAAAATAGTATTTAAATGGTGTTTAACTTGCAGCCATTTGATACTTATATCTTTTGTCTTTTAAACGAACTGAAAGTACTTAAGGTCAAGTAGACCGAGCCTCGATGCGATGCTGCTTACAGGATTAAGACTTTCTTTTTTCTCCTTCCAATTTTTCTTTGGTTTCTAGAGTTTGCAAGCCTTGATGAACGAGTGCATTGGCCACGTCATAGGAAAGCCACACAGCCCCGTCACAGGTTCGTACCTTGTGAGAACAGCAAATTGTCTTAGGATTGATGTAATTTATAATAATAAAAGATGTATTTTAAAAATTCTCAGAAGGTGACAGAGAAGAGGTTATACAGGAACTCCACAGTCATCATCCTAAACCCTGCAGGAAGATTAAAATGCAGCCATACATTTGGACTGGTTCTTGTTTGTCTGGTGTTAATGCTGCAGTCTGTTCTCCTTGTTAAAATCTTTGTGTATAGGACAAATGGGGAGGGGTCCTCTGGTCCTCCCTTATCTCATGAAGGAGGGGTGTTGTTTTTTCTATGCTTTCCCACTTACTTGGGTAAATTTTGATTTGGCTTCAACCTTTTTTTTTTTTTTTTTTTTTTTTCCAAGACAGGGTTCTCTGTGTAACAGCCCTAGTTGTCCTGAAACTCACTTTGTAGACCAGGCTGGCCTCGAATTTAGAGAGATCCACCTGCCTCTGCCTCCAGAGCGCCCAGGGTAAAGGTGTGAGCCACTGCCGCCCCACTGGTTTCAATTTTTAAAAATGAAGTTCTTAGCTGGTCAGTGCTGGCATACACCTTTAATCCCAGCACTTGAGAGACAGAGACAGAGTTCAAGGCCAGCCTGGTCTGCAGAGTCAGTTCCAGAGCAGGCTGGGCTACACAGAGAAAAACCCTGTCTGGCGGGGAGCAAAAGAAAAAAAAAGTGAGGAGGAGGAGGAAGAAGAAATTTGTTAAGAATGATTACCATTTTTGACATAGTCTATGAATAAAACAAAGTCATAATCATTCCATAAGCACTCAAAATAGAAACTTTAAATTATATAAAATTGTTAAGAAATGGTAAATTTGCCAAACGTCAGCTATGCTGGTTAAAAAGTACTTGCCAGCCACGGAAAAACTTAGTATATGAACAGGCCTTAATCACTGCTTTTGTTTTAGAATATAAAATTCAGTAGGTTTATCAAACACCCTTTCTTCCCAAGGCTCTCATGAAAGTGACAGTTACTATTGTAAAACTACTCATGTTCATTTATCGCGAAGAGCACGTCTTTGCAGAGAACTGTATTCTCCTCGTACTCTTGACTGGGTCAAGTAACATCAGTGGAATTCAATTTCTACATCAGTAACCTGGTCAAATCACTTTTTAAAAATATTTTATTACCTAAGGCATACATTTCTTTTTAAATTATTATTACATATTCATTTATTATTTATTTATTTATTGTGTATGTGTACATGCCTGAGCACACACATATGCATGTAAGTCAGAGTGCATGTGGAGAGGTCAGAGGGCAACTTGGAGGAGTTGGTCTGCTCTTCTCTTGTGCCTGTCTTGGGAATTTAACTCAGGCGTCAAGCACCCTTACCCACTGAACCATCTTGGTGGCTCAGGCAGAAATTTCTTTGTAGAAAAATTATAACATAGAAAGATGTAGAAGGTGGACATTTCTGGAAATTTTCCGTGTAAAAAGTTACAGACTATAAAAGCTGTCACACCCTATGCGGTGATAGCCGCCAGGGACATCTGGAGCAGGCCTCTGACATGCCTGCTCCTTCCTCCAGACTGCTGTAGACAGTTAAGTTCCTTCTGAGATGTTGTCCTTTGTCCCCTCAACCACCAGGGGGCGTGCTGGGGGGCACTGAATCAGGAGCAGATTACTTGGCAGGGAGGGGCCTGGAGCTGCTCGTTTAAACCATTGAGGTTCTTCTTGTGTTGCCGGAAATGGGCTGCCAGCTGGACTCGGACAGTTAGAATAATGTTTTATGAACTCTGGGGTCCCCTTTTGGTTTTGTGTTCTTTTTTTTTTTTTCATCCGAAATTAATGTAGGTAACAACAAATGAGCTGCATTCCTTGGTTAAGCGTGCGACCAGTGGTAGCAGCCTGGCATGTGACCTTCTTCTGTATGTGCTTGAAACCCTCGAGCACAGAGCAACTTGACTGTGTGTGGCTGGGTCCCTTTGAATGTGACAGAACTCCTCCATGTCAGTGGTGCAGATCCAGCTCTAGCCCTCACTGTGGCCTCCCTGGCCGGACGGACCTGCCTCTTTCCACCACTTTTTATGGGGCTTTTGCTTAGCCGTGAAGCCGCTTCGCACCTTCGTGGGGAATCCCTGTAGCCATGTTTGAGCAGTTCCCCGGTCTGCTGGCTCAGGACATCAGCTCCATCAGTTGTTTTTGCTGCTTTCCTGTGTTGTTGCTGCGCTTCTTCCATTTGGCATTGTGAGGCCTGAGCTGATGGACAGCCCACGCGGCCCGGCTCCTCTGGCGGGAGCTCAGTCTCTATTTGCAGGGGGCTGCAGAGCTCACCTGGTGGGTCTCACTGAGTGTGTCACGTTACTAAGAAGAAACAAATCCAACCCTGATGTGAGGGTTTCCATTTAGTGTGAACTCTATGCGGACTAAAGCTGTGAACACATGAAGAGAAAGTGTGCCATAGCCTGAGGAACGTAGAGACTTGAGGAACGTAGGGACTTGAGGAATGTAGGGGCTCTTGAAAGCAGCTGTTGGAGACACGTTAGAGGAGACAGAATGGTGGCTTGTCAGTCACTGCCTCTGCCTGGTTCCTGGGGAGGTAAAACCGTGTCCATTTTTTCCTACCAGTAGTAGGAAAATCACTGGTTTTACATTTTCCTTTTGAGTTTCATCTGACTTTAGGACTGGGACGTAGAATACATTCCTAGCCTGTACCGGGCCTGGGCTTCAGTCCCTAACACCATGAAGTTTGTCAGTAACAATGACATCTAATTTTAAATGTCATGCAGTTTTTCGATTTTAGTTTTATCTTAAATTGCATCTGCATTAGTCTCGCATTAGCCCATTTAGAAGGAGAAGAGAAGTCATCTCCTCTAAGGGAGAAGCCAGGGAAATTGTGCCCATCCCTGGCCTGGGTTGGTGTTAAGTAATGGAGTGTTAATGTGTATGTTGAGTCGGAGAGATCTCCACCCAGAACCTTCACAGACGTCTGCATGCAGAATCGTCACGTGTGGGTGGCAGAAAGAGTGCCTTGTTATTGGCGAGCTGCCAAATATGCCTCAGTGGTTCGCTGCGTCCAGATGGAGGCAGTCATTTGTTCAGCAGATGTTACGTAATGTTCACACTGGGGTTAACAGAAGCATGGTTTTGCTGGAGAAACAGTTGAGAGTGTAATATAACTTTGCTAACTTTTATGAAGGGGACGTATATGGTAATAGTTTTATTTTTTCACCCTGCGAGTGACTTGGTCTTGGTCTCTGGCCAAGCTGATTGCTACTCCATTTACACTTAAGTGGCCTGGCTTGGCGGTGATCCGGTGTCCGCTTTAACAAGGTCCCTCTCTTGCCCTGCCGGCAGCTATCCATCGGAACAGCCCTCGTCCTGTGAAGGTGCCCCGATGCCACAGTGACCCTCCCAACCCACACCTCATCATCCCAACCCCAGAGGGTTTCAGGTATGTGGCGCGCCTCCATCACGGACTTGTCTGCTCTGCATGCTCCTGCTCTGGATCAGCTGGGTGCTTGCTCTGGGGTGCGGGGGTTTTTCCTTCTAACCTGCCAGACGCTTCCTAGAGCACTTCTCATGTTGTTTTGAGGACCCACCGCAGCGCCTTAGTTGCCAAAGAAAGACAGCCTGAGTCTTTCGAGATGACTTAGCTCTCGGCTTCCTTGTAACCCCAGCTTCAGGGTGCTCTCTGGCTTTGGAGTAGTTCCTTTTCTGTCTTGGAACAATGACCTTAGGAAAACAGATTTAAGCATGCAAAGCATAGGGCACATGTGAGGGCAGTGCTCAGTGTCTCCTTAGGAGTGGAGAGCGCTGGAGTGAACACTCCACCGTTGACATGCGTGAGTGACAGTTGTGAGTGGAGTGGACAGTGCGGAAGCACACCCACGTTCACGGGGATGCTCTTCTCTGCACCCGTGCTAGTGAAAGTCCCCCTCCTCCTCCTCTCACTTCACCCCCTTGGGCCAGCCGATTTCATGTGGTGAGGTTCTCTAGGTATGACCCTTGACGCTCCTTTCTTTTTTTTTTTCTTTCCCCCTCACACAGACCAGAACTCTCAAGTAGCGATGTGCACTTTGTTTTTAAAGACTCTTTTCACTCCTACCCATGTATTATGTGCCTCCCCCCCCTTTCCTGCCTGTGTTCCTGAAGCCTCTCTTCTCGTCTTAGCACTCGGAGCGTGCCTTCCGACGCTCGGAACCACGGCAACTCTGTGGCTGCTGCTGTTGCTGCCGCCGCCGCCGCTGCCGCCACCACCACCGCCCCTGGCCGCCCTGGCCCAGGTGGTGGTGACTCTGCGCCGGCCAAACCCGCCAACACTGCCCCTGAAACCAGGTAGTCCCACTGCACCGGCCACGTGTCTCCCGCCCCGTGGCCCCCTGCACCCCTTTCAGGTTCTTAGCGTTGAGTCGCCGAGTGGCAGCTGTGGGGTGGTGCTCCTCGGGGTCCCCTCTGGGTGGTCACGGCCCCCAGGCCCCCCGGAAGCAGAAGTAAGCCCTTTCCTGAGGGTGACATGTCTCCTCTGGAGCCGAGCAGTCCTTCCTGGGTAGGAGCAAGGCGGTTCTGCCTTCATTTCACCCAGTGTCCGAGCAGAAGGGACACTCGCTGCCAGCATTCTTCCTGTAAGGAAGCGGGTGTCCTGGAGTAGTGATCCTGGGGAGACAGATGTAACCAAAACTGGAGGCATGCTGGATGGTGCCATGTGTAGTGCCTAGGATGAAGCAGTATGGAAGCAGGAAGACAAGGCTTTGCGACTCAAAAGACTAAACGATGTTAGACTGACCTTAACACCACCAGTCTAAAAGTCCTACAAATATTTCTAGTGTTGCTACTCATTAAAATAATTAATATTCCTAATTTTTAGTCATAAATGTCTAGAGCCTTAAAAGTTAAATGTTTTCCAACTTAATCCATTAACAATAAAATAAGTATTAAAGGCAACTCCCTTTACTGCTGGTTTTTAATTTTGGAGGATTTCATGGCATGTATCTCCACATTGCTTCCATCTCACCGCAGGAGCTACCTAGACTTTGTTACAGTGATGTGTGCAGAATCAAGGGAAGCGGGGGACCGTTAACTGCCTCGGAGCCCAGCTCCCCGGCTGCTGAGTCTGCATCCCACATGCTCCTCTGGAGCCGCCTCCAGAAGGCTGCCAAGCTGCCATTGGACCCCTGGTGTGCCACAGCCAGCTTTTCCCTGCACCCACCTTCTGCCCATCAGCAGTTTTTGAGCATCTTTCTGTAGCGTTCATTGTGTAGGTCAGGGTCTTAATTCAGATCCACTTGACCACTGGTGGCTTTAGTAGCAGCATAGTTTTGAAGTTTTTATATTCTTCTTATTTTTTAATGCGAAGTCACAAAGTTTGCTTTGAGATAATATGTCTGTGAACATCGATAGAACAAGCAATGTCCCACAGAGGCAGGTAGGAGCCCAAGCCCGCCCTGGTCCCTTTTGTGGCAATCCTGGGAGCGTCCCAAGGGGCCTGCCGGGTTGGCACACTCCTGCTCAGTGTATACTTGAGAACCCAAGTCGCAGGCCAGCACGGGCCTGAAAATGGCAGACCCAGAAACACTTACATCAGCCCATAGTGTTCAGGGACATTTTCATTTTATTTTGTGGGCCTTGGGAGTAGCTATTCTAGGCTTCAATTCTGTCGTTGTTTATTTGAAAACAAGATATTTCTCAGTGCTAGCCTCGCCCGAGCCAGCTTCCAGTGATGCTTAAGAACTGGCTGTTCATTTTCGCCAGTGCTCCAGGCTGGTTGTCACCCCACAAACTCGGCAAACTTTGTCATTCCCCCCTCCTCCCTTCCCCCTCCCCCCTACCTCCCACTCACAAACACCACCTCTTCCAGGACACTTCTTGCCGTTTACCTTCCCAAGATCTCTGAAAGTCAGGGAATTGACTCATTTCACCTTCAGGGAAGCAAGGAGGTAGAGACACCAGGTGACCCCCATGGCCTCCCAGATACGGCCCCACTTAGGAGTGGACTGTGTGGCCTCCCTTTTGCCAGTGGCCTGGCCCTCAGGTGCCACGAGAGCTGATCCAGGAGCCACCGGCAGCAGCGATGCTGCCCACGTCAGATGTACACAGGCCGGCTACCCACATCAGATGTACACAGGCCGGCCCACGCTGAGGCCGTGGCCAGTGACCATGCTGCCCACATCAGATGTACACAGACTGGCCCACGCTGAGGCCGTGGCCAGTGACCGTGCTGCCCACATCAGGTGTACACAGACCGGCCCACGCTGAGGCCGTGGCCAGTGACCGTGCTGCCCGGGCCTGCTCAGAGGCACCGCACTTCTGGACACTTGCACATGCTCAGCAGCAACTTCTTAAGCTGCAGATCCCATTTTCATGTGGTCTTGGGTTCCGTGGACTCCAGTTTAACACTTCCTGATTTAATCAGAGCCTTACCCTGTGAGCTCATTCTTCTGTGAACATCTCACCTGGCTGTAGGAAAGCAGCTGACTCACCTCTCTAACACGTTGGTCTCTTGCTCTCCAGCTGCTTGCCACTGCTTGAGAAATCATTGGCGCTCCTTTCTTAACTGCTAGACATTTGCAATCTTTTCAACCATGTAATGATTTCAGTGCTCGTGGTATAGTTAATTGAAATATGATTTGTTGGCAACCTTAACTGTCACTGGATTTGGTTACTGCCCCTCTCCATGCTAGGCTTAAACTGTGGAGCTTTCCACAAAGCACTGCTGTTTAAATAGACGAGCTTTATCCGTGTGTCCGTTATTAACGTAGAATGAACACGTTTTGGGGCCGGGACCCTACAGGCAGTCAGTCCCTGGGGAGACCCTGTCTCAGTGGCTGCTCTGTTTATTTGGGGGATAGATTTCCTGGGGCTGGCCTGTGTGTTGTCCTCTGCCCACTAGATGCCAGTTGCACCCTCCCAGTCAGCAGTCACGAGTGTCTACGGACACCGCCATGATCCCCCAGGCAGTGCTGTCCTGTTGGGCGTCGGGATTCTAGAAGAATCTCCTAGACGTTTGCATTTTACGCCCCACTGACTTGCCAGCTCAGTTGTTGTTGTTGTTGTTTGTGTCAATGTTGGAACAGGGGCTCCAGCGTCCCTGAGAACGACCGCTTGGTGTCCATAGCCGCAGAGCTTCAGTTCAGGTCTCTGAGTCGGCACTCGAGCCCCACGGAAGAGCGGGACGGTGAGTGTCCACCAGCTCCCTGTTTTTGTCTCACTTCACCAGTTGTGACGTCCTTGAACAGGACGTGTGGGGGACCAGCAAGCCTCAGGAGAGGCTTAGCCTGCCCACCTTGGCCTTACAGTACCACTTTGCACATTGTAAGTCGTCTTCATTGTGTTTTCCAAACGACATCCCTCTTGATGGTTTCATTCTCCAGTACTCTTCCTCGCTTTAGATGTTATGTGTTTGCTGTAGTACGGTGGCAGTCCCCCAAAACTGCCTCTCAGACGGGGTCCCCAGAACGGTGTCCTCATGTGATCTGTTGTCTGTTGCTTACGGAACGTTCAAAACGCGGCAACAGTTTCTTCATTAAGTGCCGTTTTCTAGAAGCGAGTGGAGACGTCAGACTCACTAGGAATGAGTAGGAGCAGATTGGCAGTGATTGCTTCCATTCAGCAGAGTGTAGTTTCTTCATAAATCTTACTTTGTATGCACACCTCTCCTACAGAGCCAGCGTATCCCCGCAGTGACCTGAGTGGGTCAACACGGAGAAGCTGGGAACTTCGCACACTCATCAGCCAGACCAAAGGTATGAGAGAAGAGCCGCTGTTGATGGGCGCTGTTCAGGCCCTGAGTCGTTAGGTCTCCCCTGTTAACACCTGTGACCTCCCTGGTCCCTCTGACCTCACTAGTCGCTGCCGTGGCCTTTCTGGACAGCTTCTGTTTTTCACAATGAATTCCAAGAGCCTTGGGCGTGCTCGTCCTTTCCGCAGCACAGTCCCTGGATGTTGTGTTTGTGAGTGTAAGCATTCGTCTTGAGGCTGAGAACCTGGGGAAGGAGCGGTGGCTGGTGGGAGTTACCGTGGGGAAATTGTTCTGCCCGCTGCATTAGGGGAGAAATGGGCCTTGGTTAGAGTTCCAGGACAGTGACTGGGGCACATGGAGGTGTTAGATGAACTGGGGTTTCAGAGTCGGGCGGCAGCAAGAAACGGCTTTGGCTCAAACGCTGTCAGGCCCTGTGCAGATTCCTGTGTGCTGAGGGAGAGACTCAGGACCTGAGCCCAGAAACTGGGAACAGTCTCTGCCTCAGCCCACCCACAACGGTGGTGCCCCTGGACACGGTGGTGGCCGGGACTCTGCCCTGCGTTTGAAAACAAGTACTCGGTGGTCAGGTAAAATGGGGAACTGCTAGGACTATGGCATTCTCTGAGAAGCTGCAATTCCCAGGGACATACTGAAGTCCAAGTCTCTGGAGAGAGGCTCATTGGTGTTTAAGAAATCTTTACACAGTGGGGTCTACAGCCTCAGGGTTGTGAAAAACGTCCATGCGAACCTGGTGTGTAGTATATTTGGGTAAAAGAAACAATTAGATTTCCAGGGTTTTTTTTTTTTTTTTTTTTTATGTAGTAGAAAGGAAGAGAACAAAATAAACTAATTAAAACATAAATTTTTGGGAATGCCACTTTTCAAATTAACCTTACAGCCATCCAGATCTTCAAAGATCCCTTTGTCTGCTGGACAGAGCTGAAGCTCTCGATCACTATTAAGCCACAGCTGTAGCCCACTGATAGTTGGAAAATCTTGAGTGTTATCAGCTCTGGTGTCCATCAACAGAGGATATGACAGAAAATATAACACGTGTGTGCGTGCATGCGTGCATACACACATAGCGTGGAATACCATGCACCGGCTAAGAAGGAAACGGTGTCATGTGAGGAAAATGGATGGCGTTGGAGATCATGTGTGCTGTTTTCTTTGTGTCCGCTTGGAAACCAGCTTTCTCACATCCTGGGACTGATGAGTTCACGTCTCTCCGCAGACTCCACCTCTAAGCAGGGGCCCATAGAAGCGATCCAGAAGTCAGTCCGGCTGTTTGAAGAGAGGCGGTATCGAGAAATGAGGAGAAAGAATATCATTGGTCAAGTTTGCGATACCCCGAAGTCCTACGACAACGTCATGCATGTCGGCTTGAGGAAGGTGACGTTCAAGTGGCAGAGAGGAAACAAAATCGGTGAGGAGGCCGAGGGCTGCCCCGCGGGAAGCAGCTCTCCTCCCAGTGTTTTGTAGATCACTCTTTTTGATGTTTCATTTCTAAATTGTGTTTAGCGAGCAATAGAAAATGAACATTGAAAAAGACTAGTTCAGTAAATTGACTAGTTTTGCTCAATAATTCTGTAAGTTTCCATTTGAGAATTACTGAAATTTTGCCCTCTTGTTTGTCTGTGTTCTTTTATTCTCACCAGAGTATTTGAGAAGAGACTAGAAATAAATCAGGACAGGGCAGTCCCTTTTTTTTATCCCCCTAAAATATTGCCCTGTCAATTGATTTCTAGGTGGAATTAACTCAGACTCTTGAGCCACTTAAATGCACTTATCTCTCAAACTTTAAGTCTGAGAGGCAAACCCAGTCGTAAGAATTTGGGGGAGCCCAGGAAACTAGATGTGTACTATCAAGGACCAAACAGTCAAATAATTTGTAAAACATCTTCACTATAGCTCTCGATCTCCTTCAGTAATTGGTTCCGTGGTTTAGTGTCCCAGAGCAGTGTGGGAAGATCGCCCTCACACTTGAGGTCCTGTGGCAGCGTGGCCAGAGGGTCTAGACATGCTCCTGGCCACTCCTTTTTGCCCCAGTCCCAGCCCAGCCCTCTTGAGGGGAACAAGGCCTCAGAAGGATCTGGAAGAGCGGGCCGCTTACTTACCTTTCATAGCTGTCCTGTGGTTCCCCAGAGCTCGTCTCTGTCACAGTGACATCTTCAGGTAGGCTGTGTGCAGTGACATGCTTGCCCCAGGACTTTGGGTGCCAGGGAACACTGAGACTGCTGTGGTCTTAGGTGGCGAACTAGAGTGAGCATAACAGTAGCTCTGTCCATGCGTCTGAAGTTAGAGCTTGCTGTAGGCTGCATTGACAACTGCCTGTAGTGACTGGAAGACTGCTCTGTTGGTGTTGTTGGCAGGAGAGGGACAGTACGGCAAAGTGTACACCTGCATCAGCGTCGACACAGGGGAGCTCATGGCCATGAAGGAGGTGAGTCATGCTTCCCTGGGCCTTTGGGTCAGATAAATCTGGGTGATTCAGGTTCAGGAAAGCCACTGCGTTTATGGCCCCTGTGCATACGGCTGGCCCCAGGACTCTTGAGTCGTGAGTTCCTCGGCCTGGGTCCCGAGTTTTAGCATTTGACATTTGGGACCGGGTGGCAGCCACCCTGAGATGACTTTAGTGGAAGATTGACGGCTCTAGGAAGGACTTCCAGAGAGTGGGGTCTCGAGTAATTGAAATGCAAAGCGGGTAGGCTTGCCCTGTGGAGGCGGCTTGGGAACCCTGAGGGAAGCTTGGGGGATGGAGCCGCCTCTAGCACCCGGTGGATGCTTGTGAGGAAAAGACAGTAAGCTTAAGAATTGAGGATGGGCAAGAGCTGGGGGAAACTGAGGAATGACCACTAGAGGGCTACAGACTGGGAACCAGGGGTGACCGGGTGGGGTGGGGGTGGGGGTGGGGGGCGTTGGTGACGGGCCGAGCTGCAGAGCCGTCGTCCGTCACCTCCAAACTTCGGTGGTTTGTTCCTTGCTCCAAATTGACCAAATACATCATCATCCCCTTGTGTTTTGACATTTATAAATTTTAATTGCTATCATCATGTACATATAGTTATGGTTTATAAACTGTACTGAGTATGCAGATAATGGGAAGTGATTGAATCACACACGTTCATCACTTGGCTCTTTGCAACCTTGAAGACAGGTGCCGCCTGGTCTCGCTCTTGTGGAGTCTGGGGGAGTCTGGGCGGATCCCTGTGTGTAGTCGGGGCTCCCAGGCTAATCAAAGCCAGCAGATAATCAAAAGACCAAGTCACAGACATGCTGGCCCTGGTCCTGGAGGCTAGGAACTGACATGTCGGGAGACGGCTTCCCACCCTCGGTGGGAGTATCACGGAGTATCCATAGCCATCAGTTTTCTTTCCCCAGATTCGATTTCAGCCGAATGACCATAAGACTATCAAGGAGACCGCGGACGAACTGAAGATATTCGAAGGCATCAAGCACCCCAACCTCGTTCGGTACTTCGGCGTGGAGCTTCACAGAGTAAGCGGGCCGCAGTCACACTGTGTGGGGAGTCAGCGTCCGCAGTCAGTCACACTGTGTGGGGAGTCAGCGGCCGCAGTCACACTGTGTGGGGAGTCAGCGGCCGCAGTCACACTGTGTGGGGGGTCAGCGGGCCGCAGTCACACTGTGTGGGGAGTCAGCGGGTGCAGCGCGGCGCCGTTCCTCAGCACACCTCTCCTCACTGCAAAGCACAGTGACTCTGCCTGATGGTCAGGAAACCTCCATGGCTACGTCACTTCTGCCTTCTCTCTGAATCCCAGGAAGTTGCAGACTGTGTCATTAGCCCGATGTCGTGAGCACTTACAGCTGCTGTGCTAATTGTCACAGCTATTAGACACTCACTCTTCTCTCTGTTTAATAAGCCTGCATGGGGTAGGAACAACCTGAGACCTAAGATTACCCATGTTGAGTGAGGAGACAGAGGAGGACAGCTTGCAGCGTGCTGGTGAGGAGCCAGAGCTGCCGGGGGCCGATCATCGTACGTTTTCAGGAATGGGTTTGTGATTGACAGGGATGTGATTGACAGGGATGTGATTGACAGGGATGTTTCAGTACTTGATGATACCTGTAGGCATGGCTGTTACTCCATCCCAGACAAGAGGCAGGCCGCCCCCTGTAGGGGAGTCAGGCACAGCTACACCACTCCCTCAGCACTCAGGGTGGGGTCCACACCCCACCAGGAGGAACACGGATTTCTCAGAGTAGGCCCTGGCGTTCCCAGTGTTCATGAAAGGAAATTCAAAGTGTTAAGTCTTGTTCTGTCCCCTCCCCAGGAAGAGATGTACATCTTCATGGAGTACTGTGACGAGGGCACCTTAGAGGAAGTGTCGAGGCTCGGGCTTCAGGAGCATGTCATCAGGCTGTATTCCAAGCAGATCACAGTCGCCATCAACGTCCTCCACGAGCATGGCATCGTTCACCGAGACATCAAAGGTACACCTTACCCGGCTTCCACGGGCGGTCAGTCTCCTGGGGTCCAGCCCCGAGTAGGTTCAGCGGTGGTTGCTCCCGTGCCCACCTGTCACTTCTTCCGGTGGATGGAGGCACCCTTGCTCTAAGTGCTTCTCAGGTGGGCCTTGTGCCTGGAAATGGCAGCAAGCCGGGTGTCCACGCATGAGTAGAAAGTCCTCGCTGTCACCTGTGCAGCGACGCTAGAGACGTCCGTTTCCTGGAACTGAAGCGTGCTGCTGCTTCAGGTGTAGTTCAGTCTGCTTGGTACACACCTGTGACAAGGCTCCCTTGCCTAACCCATGCCAAGGTCTTTGGACATTTGTGTCCAAATGCATGGTTTTTTTTTTTTTTTTTTTTGAGGTGGGGTTTCTCTGTGTAGCCCTGTAGCCCTGGCTGTCCTAGAACTCAATTTGTAGACCAGGCTGGCCTCGAACTCACAGAGATCCTCCTGTCTCTGCCTCCCGAGTGCTGGGATAAAAGGCGTGCGCCGCCGCCGCCACCACCACCCCACCCAAATGCATGTTGTAAGTACCTGAAGTGAGTGTGAATCCAAACTGCCTGTGGAACCGTGCACACAGCTGTGGCTTTGGAAGTAAAGAAGTTGTCCACGCCATACTTTTCTGTCTCAGGAGAGGAGCTGTGCTCCCATTTCAGGACTCACACTGTAAGTGTCGAAGCCACACCATGACTCTGACCTTTTTGAGGAGTCTGAGAGACAGTTAGAGCAGGACACTGCTTTCACCCCCGATTGGCTCAGAGTTCCATCCTGTCCTGTACTCTGAGGTTAGCCCCAACACAGTTAATCAAGAGAGACGTGTCTTCTGGTCAAGGACTAGACTCCCTTTCTGGGAAGTCATCGGTTACCCTGGAAGCCGCCTTGGCCTGGGCCTGAGGATTGTTCATGTTCTGCTGGGTGTCTCACCCTGAATCCCCCAGCCTGTGCCAACCTGATGGCTGCCTTGTCCGTCTGCCACACGGCTTTGCCGGGTCAGCCTGGGCATTTGCTTGGCTGTCATTGCCCGTAACCAGTTGGTCCTGCCTCCCACACCACACTCCATTTCTGTGCATCATCCTGGCAGAATCTCTGAGCCCTAAAATCAGTTTAGCTCATGGGTGTCCTCATCAAATGCTTTGTAGTTGAGCATGGCTAAGAACAGAGAACAGTTTCAAAATGGCCACTGTGCGGTCCGTCGTTAGGACCGCCTCTGGGAGGCTCTAGCTGTCACAACGGATAGAGTGGCAGGAGCTCACTGCATAGCTGAGTGTCCAGCAGGTTACGGTGGTACTTTGTAAAGTGTATTAGATGACTTAATTACAGCAGTACTGTCTCTGTCTACAGCAGCCTGTAATGATCTAGGCTACCCTGAGATATGAGCTATAACCCTGGGTTCCAGTGGGAGTTGATACAGTTGTATGTTGCTTATAGGAATGTTGGAATGGAAAGTATACAGTACTGTTTTTCAGTTACTGTTAAAATGGGCTCCGAAGTGGCATTAGTGTGTATGTCTTAAAGTCCTCAGTGTGTGCAGGTTCTCTTTTATGCATCCTTCCTGTTAGAGAAACTGCCCACAGCAAACAGTCCCAAAGTTCATTTGCTGCCACACACATCTGGACTTTGTATTAAATTTCTCTATAAGTATGTCTGAGTTTTTAATGAATTATGTCTCTCAATTCAGAATGTGTCTGCTTTGATGTCAGTTTGTGTTGATTTGCAATAGTTTGCAGTTGTGGTCCATAAATCTTCCTGTGGTTGCACATGGTAAATGAAATTTCAAAACTTCCTGTTATTTAGTTAATTTGTGAATGAAGATTTTTAGGTGTTTGGATAATCGTGGAAACATCGTGAGGCACCCACATTGTGTTTCAGAGCCTGCTCAGCAACTGACTGTTTCTGTTTAGGTGCCAATATCTTCCTTACGTCATCCGGACTCATCAAACTGGGAGATTTTGGATGCTCAGTAAAGCTTAAAAACAACACGCAGACCATGCCTGGAGAGGTGAACAGCACCTTGGGGACAGCAGGTAAGGACCAGCCCAGCTGGCCGCTGAGCTCTGACTTGAGGAAGGCCTCTTTCCCTCTCGGGACACCTGGTGGTTTACACTGGGGACTGGAACTGTGCTGGTTTAAGTAACCACAGCTGCATGGTAACCACTTGCTGGTATTGATTGTTTTGGTGTCAGGTTCAGTTTCCTGTTTTCAGTGAGAATACAGTGTATTGGAAATGTTGACATTCAGAGTTGCTTTTGAAAAGAGAACTTTGTCCTAAGATGTCAATCAAGTTGACTTGGGAGTGCAGGTTTTCAGCATTGGCTGCTTGTAACTGGGGGAAGGACATTGCTGAGGATTAATGGACTGCTTGGTGCTGTTAATACGACCTGCTGTGCGGTTAACCCTTGCTATCTCCGTGTTTGACTGCAAAGCTTACATGGCACCTGAAGTTATTACCCGGGCAAAAGGAGAAGGCCATGGACGTGCAGCAGATATCTGGAGTCTGGGGTGTGTCGTCATAGAGATGGTGACTGGCAAGGTAAGCATGCTGTGCACGTGGAGGAAGACACCTTGTAGGTCAAGTGCAAAACTGAGGTTTTATCATTAGTGCTGTGGATACCTTCCTCCTCGAGCTCGTTAGAGATTAATGAGGCCAATCAAAAGCACAGTGAGGTTTAGGGAAATGACAGACTGAGAAACGCCTGTCTGTAAAGCACACGTCATAGAGAGCTCTTAGGGAACATTTAAGTTTCAGCTTTGAAGTAAAGCATAAACCCACGCATCGATAGCCGCCTGATGTTTGACAACGGTGCCGACAGACGGAGAGGAGACAGTCCGAGTGACTGATGACCATGTGTGATAACCACTGCTTTATTCACAGTGTCAACAGACGGAATCAGCTTAGGTGGCCCCTAACCGATGAGGAGGGTAATGAAAATGTGAAATATTATTATTCAGCCAGGGAGAGAAAGGAAACCATGCAGTTTGCAGGAAAATGGATGGAACCAGAAAATACTGAGGCAGCCTGGGCTCAGAATGATACATATCACTTGTTCTGTCTCCTATGCAAACCCTAGCTTCTCATTTTAATATCTACGTATTGATGTGGGAGTGGCTGGGTATAGGTGCCAGGAAACTAGAGAGGGTCCTGTGAGGATGCAGATAAGACTTGAAGGATAAGCAGTAGAGAAGGCAGGAAACAAATCTAATAGGAGAGTGAAAAGGAAATGCTGGGCTGGGGGTGAGAGAGGGAGACAGGGAGTATGCAGTTGCAAAGGGACACGTGACGTCCGAAGCGTGCATACACACCAAACCTGCGCGTGAATGCTGACGGCAGCTTTGCTCAGTACCCAAACCTGGAACAGCTCAGGTGCCTGCAGTAGATACGGCTCAGCAAAGAACACTTCCCCAGTGGTCTGCCGGCCAAACGTCTCACATCCGTGCAGGTGACTATTACTCACAGAGAGAAACGGCTCTGGTCCTCGGAAAGACAGAGGGGTAAATGGCGAGAGGTGCCACAGGACAAAGGCTGCTCACTGTGTGAGCTCCTCACAACACTGGGAGGCAGACTACAGGACAGTAAAAAGGCTCCGTGACTGCAGGCTTGCTGTACACACCTCTGTAATCCCAGCACTTGGGAGGATGAGGTAGATGGGCCATGAGCTTGAGGCCAGCCTGGGCTACATGGCAAGACCCTATTTCAGAACAGACCCAAGTTCATGGTTGCAAGAGTGGGAAGCGAAGGGTGATAAAGAGAGGAAAGGATTCTTGGGCTGGTGAAACTCTTCCTTAGTGCATCAGTGGCTTTCTCACGGTGGTCACAAAGACCTTCAACCTTCAGCTGAGGGGAGACATCATACCCGCAGTCAGGAAGGAGGGGGCAGGAAGTGGAACCAGGCTATAAAACCTGGAGACCAGCCCCCATCCCACTCGCACCCCACTCCACTCGCACCCCACTCCACTCGCACCCCACCCCACTCCCACCCCACCCCACT